CTCCCCCCCCCCCCCCCCCCCCAATTTTGACAGAGTTCACGGGCATACTTGGTTTTTCTGAGGTTCAGATAATAACAGTGTTGTCGAATCTGCATGCCTCCCATGTCTGCCTGAGCACCTTGCACCTAACATCTTCCTGTCTGTTATTTCAGCCCTGCCCCAGCTTCCACTATGCCCTGGTTTCTATTACTGCTTTAATCTCAAGCAGCTGCCCCTGTTATTCCTGCGCTAGGCATCTTTAGAGCAGATTGTTGATCGTGCCAAGTTCTGTAGTATGTTAGAGAATAGGCTGGTGCCAACTAGGGCATGATGACCAAAATCCTTTCTCTTATGACCTGTGCTGGGATCTGAGCTCAGTTATTCGGAGGTGAAACAATTAGAGTAGTTAATACCCTCCTAGGTAACAATCTTTTTCTTCTGGACTTTCCCTGCATAAATTTAGTATCTAGTATCAGTGATGTATGTTATGAGGCATGAGCCAAATAATATTAGTTATTCTTCAATATTAAACATGAAAAATAATTTAATTTGAATATGTGATGTGGAAAGAACACTGAGAAGGGAATGGACGTGGGGAGCTAAATCAACGAGTCTTTCGTGATCCGTGCTGAGGGATGTTGCTCAATTTAAACAGAGGATTAAACGTTGCATTCCAATATCTTACATCTGTTAAGGAGATTAAGAACTGAAAGTCTGTCTGTTAATATTTCACACCAGGGTAGGTATAAGCCAGTAAACTACAACCTCATTATCGTTGTTAGACTCCATTTTAATGAGATTTTTGTTAAAGACTAATGTGACCTTTAGCTTCCCTCTTAAGTCTCTTATACCCCTTTGCCAAGGAAAGCAAAGCCTCTTTTTCTGCTTCTGGGCTCTTTTAGATAATGGTAGGCTGGGCCGTTTGCTCACGTTTGAATCCTTCCTGTAGAGACCATCCTGTTCCTGCTTTATTGAGGGAAGAAAGGTGGGAAGAGGAGAGTATTTGAAATCCATAGCAGCTGCTTCCATCTAGCAGAGTTATGCTGGATAAGAGCCACTAGGTCTGAGAGACATACTAACAGAGAGAGCAAACGGAGCAATGACTTGGAGATTGAAGACAACCCTGTTTCTGCAGGCACATGCAAATGTTTTCCTAGAAACTTTATGAAGGAGAACGTTATCAGGAGGGGACAGGAACCCACTGGTGACACTGTTCAGCGGGTGAAAGCTTTCAGCCAGAGCTCTTGTCTTTCAGCTTATTCAATGGTTCAGATCATCAATTTGTTCAAATTACATGAGGATCCTGAGGTCCTCTTATGTTTGCTCTGCAGTCACAAGGATTTTTGTTCTTCCTAATAATAGTCATTGTCTCTTTCCTCTGCAGGTGCTGCTGAGCCAAGTACATCGGCTCCGAGCTCTTGATTTGCTGGGAAGATTTTTGGACCTGGGTCCCTGGGCGGTTAGCTTGGTGTGTGGATGTTGCATCTTGTCTTGTAAAAGTCTTCTCTCAGTATAGGTGATAAATACAAATGATGATTTATGAAAGAAAGATGTGGAAGGTATTCCACAAGTTTGAGCAGTGACAAGTGCTTTATTTCTTCTCCATGCATGTAAAATGGAGCAAATATACCTCAAAGAAAGGTGATTTATATTAGTCAAGAAGGCCAAATAGCTGTTCGCGTGCTTTGCTATAAAGAGGATTTCCTTTGGAATAATTTAATTTAAAATATTGGAAGGAATAAAATGGGGGAAATGTCTGGGATGACTAAGAAGGTTTGTCATATAGAATAAAACTCAATGTAGAAAAAGAGCTTATGTTTATCATCCCCTACTCTCTAAGCTCGCTGGCATCGTTTTCCTCTCATCCTTTATGTGTTTGGTCTCTGCACCTCATGCTTTTGGGAAAGTGGCTAGCGCTGTGGATAATAAATACGAATCAAACAGGCAAGCAGTTTGAAACACTCTTGTAAATGGAGCTGTTTGTTGATAACAGTGATGAAGACGAACCACCAGCTGGTAGTGGAATAGCTCTATGATGGGACTTTTTAGTGGTTTTCTTTATCTTCTGTCTTCATCTCAGCCAAGATCCTCTTCTGTGCCATCTGGAGGCCTGTCACAGAAAGCCTGGCCCTCAGTGGTAGGAAGCAAGTATGCGTTCAAAGGTGATTTTAAGCCCTCTGGATAATAAACTTCTGTGAGGATTAAACCATAGCTACAGGTGAGCCACAGTGGCCGCCTTTGCTCTAGCCGTTATGCGCATTGTAAACCAGACTGGCCCTGGCACTGTATGTGCTCAGCTACAGTGCCCATTTTCACAGCTCGCGTGGTCTGTAGCGCACCGAGGACTGCAGGCGTTTGGTGCCACCGCGCAGCTTGCATGGCCCAGCACTGAAAGCAGAATTCCTCTTCATCCGTTTCCTTTGCATTGCCCTTTGTGAAGGGTCTCTGCAGTCATGGTGGGATTCTCAAAGAGTTGACAAATTGCATGTCCTCCAAAGAGCATAGTCTGTTACCGTGCAAAAGCTTTGGTTAAAAAGTCTGTGTAAGGGGAGAGACCCATTTAATTTCCAGTGGGAAGACTGTAATTATTGAGCTTTTGCAGTATGTTTACTTATGGGAGCAAATGGCCCCATCTGAGGAGAGCGACATATTGTGAAGCATAAAATAGCACAGGCTGTAATGAGTAAAAGCTAGTGCTAGATTAACTCTGGGTCTCAGTGGATGAAATGAGTCTGAAAATATCTGGTGACATCCAAGATTAAAATGAGCAATAGACAAATATGCAGGGATCCCCTCTTCACTAGAAATGTGTGAAATTGCTTCTTATCAGATTTTTCCTCTGTGTTATTAAATACACTGCATCTTTGTAAAAAGTGCAATTCTGCCCCTCTGTAGTGCTGCTTTTGCACTAAAGCTGGGAAGTTTAACATGATTTACTATTCTTTCTGGCTCCCCAGGCGCTGTCTGTTGGCATTTTCCCATATGTACTGAAGCTACTTCAAAGTTCAGCTCGTGAACTGAGACCACTTCTTGTATTCATCTGGGCCAAAATTCTCGCAGTGGACAGTGTGAGTATTTCTGAACTTTGCTGCTTTTTTTGATTTGCATCAACATCCTTTGTTTTCCCATTGTCCTTATTCAGTTACTTTAGAATTTAGAATTTATGTTGAGGTACTTAAAAGAAGTCTATTATTTGAAGACCAGCATATCCATCTACTTCATTCATTCCACCTGTGTGAAAGCTAACTTGTTAAGTTTTGGGAATGTGAAACCCCCATTAAGGGACTGCCCAGCTGAATAGTTTAGCTACCCACCTCTTCATAGGAGTGTTTGTCAGCAAGCAGAGGTCATCAGGGCGGTTCTACCTGCATGGGCTGTGAGAGCGTGTTTGCTCTGTTCTATGTTAATGCTGAACGTCACTGTAACACGTTCCAGGTCCTAGTTCCTACTTTGGTTTTAGGGTGTGGATGCTGTGGATAAAAGCCATTAGATCATGCTGATAACATCTTTATTGGCAGAAATATTGCTTTGCTTGCTGAATGGGCTTTAAAAGCACTCATGCTCTGCCACATATACGCATGCAGGCACACGTGCACACTCAGTTTGTTCACTCTGGCTTGGTATGAAACCTGATTTGTTCAGGACCATATCTGTCAATTGTCAGAACAGTCTCCAAGTAGTCTTCAGACCCCAAATCTTTCTAGAAATAAAGCTAAACTAATTTTAGGGAGCTTAACTTATGAGTCATACTCCAAGTCTAATGTGATATTATCTGCATGCTTTGATGTATTGAACATGGTGAGCATAGAATTATTTACCACCCACAGGCGCAGGTTATTCCCATCACAGGTCCCTGATTCTGGTCTTCTCTACAATATTCTGGCACCTTTCAGGATAAGGTTTAAAAACTGACCCCTGATTTTTTTAAAGATGGCCTTGACTAGAGCTCTAGGTTGGGGAGGGGGGGTGTTAAATAAGTAATGAAGCAGGTAAGTAATTGTACATAAACTTGTGCATTCGTGCATATGTCCCTGGCTTGTGAGTGCAATTAGTTGAGTGATATAAGATTATTAGGAGTGATGCAAACAGTTCATTGCAGGCACAGTTATGAGGCGATATTAAATCGTCTGAACTGCTTATAGAAGTTGGATCTTACCTTTTTCAGTTTTATTTTTGTTATTTCTCTTCCATTTTAGTATGGAGAATAACATTGGATTTGTTGGCATTTTCCCTTGCTGTTGATCTAGCATTGTCACGTTTAGTTTTATAAATATATTTTCATTAACATCCAAAGAGGCTTTTGGAAAGCACAGAAAATGAAAACTATTCATCTTAAAGCAACTCTTGAAAAGCTTATTTTGATGCATGCCTCTCCATGGCTGACACTTCAGCCCCAGGTACCTTACAGAGTAGGCTCATATATAATTTACGTAGAGTGTCATGCCATCGTTCACTTTCTTTGATGGTAAAGCCACTCTGAGAGCTCCCATGCTATGTTTTATTGCCCCCACTTATTTGGTGGGCTGCACTTTAAACAAAAAGAACCTGTCGAATTGTGTATTTGCATTTTTTCCAGTTGTATCATTTCACTAGCTCAACAATTGTATCGGTGCAAGAAAGGCAAGCCTGACTACAGTTGGGAGGTGGAGTTAAAGCCACTGAGGGAGGGGGAAAGGCAGCACAGCAAAGGATACGAACGTGTTGTAGTATCTGAAGCTGGGAGAATACTTTCTTATTATATGCTAAAAATCAATCGGAAATGTCCTTCCTCTCCCCTGCTGACCTAAGGTTTGCCCATATGTATTTGAAACAAATCCAGTTACAAAAGATTAACAAACAACTGTATTGGCGTGCATGTTGTGTGAATGCCAAGTTCTCTAACCTTACGTAGTCTGTTCCATTTTCCCAGCCCTGTGCGTTTCCAGAACGAGAGAGAGAGAGAGAGTCCTTCCTCCCGCTCTGTAGCAGATGCGGTTTGTGACGTAGCTAAGCTCCGGAGAGAGCACATACCCCTGCGTGTTGGCCTGCTTTTCTTGGAGCTGGCCTTTTTGTAAGATGCCTCCGGGGAGCGACAACGGCAGGGGTGCGCTCGGCACGCCTGAGGAAAGGCAAGCATGAGATGCTGGTTTGCAGCATTCTGACTCAAAGGTAGATGCAGTAATTAATTGTGAGGCTGCAGTGCAGCACTCTCGTCCGAGCGGCTGCGACATCGGTCATCCGGGCAGAGGCCGTTGCCTTGGCATGTGAGAGCACGTGTTTGTTTTATCTCCCAGATAATCTTCCTCCTTACAATAATCAGACAGCGTCATCGCCTTCATCAGCTGTCCCCTGTCAGTGTATTTTGTTTGGTTTCAGGAAGCTGTACCTGATGAAATCACCATCGTTAGGACCGGAGTTCAGCTAATAGGTCATTCCTCTTTGCATTTGGATATAACTGAGGCAGGTATATAAGACCCGCTGGTCTCTTGCGCTCTGGAGAGCGGCAGGAGGTGCTGCTGAGAGAGGATTTCTGCTCTGGTTCCCCTCTCTCTTCGCGCAGGGAGGCAGAAGAAGTAACGGGAACGAAGGAGGCAGAGAGGAACGGGAGGGTGTTCTGGCGTGTGGCAGCTGTGTAGCATGTCGTGTGTCTATTCAGAGACGCCTTCAGGAAGTGGGGTCTCCTGCTACGAATTGTATCCTGTCATAAAAATTACAGGAGAAATTAACGGTATTACAGAAGCACTGCGTCTCAGACGGAGTTGTGTGTGGCAGCTGTAGATGTCCTTAGTAAACGCTGCGCTATCTGGATTAGTCTGCTTTAATTCCGTTTAGAGTCAGATGATTTTTCACTAGAATATTCACTTAGGACTTCTGTCATCCCTGCCTGAAGTCGGCTGGAGTATTTCTGGCCAATCCACCTGCAGGGCTGCATAGCCCGCGCAGCAAGTGTTGGTTCAAAGTTGCGTGCTGCGGGTCTCCGGAAGGCGTACGTGGGTGTGGAACGGGTGGTGTGCGCTGCCCCACGTAGATGCAGGGACGATAAAGAGTGTTTTTACTTGCCAGATGCATCCTTTCTTAGCAGGATTGTGACTACCAGTTCACTTCTTGTGATTAATACAAATATGCAAGTTAGGCGTTCTCTAGGGATAATTTGATAAAGGGATCCCTGGGGGCGGTGGTGGTTCCTTGGCCCCTGCGGTGGGTCGCACCGAGTGCCCCGGGCCGGGATCGTGCCGCTGGGTGCAGCAACCTTGGCAATCTCGGAGCAGCTTAGGCGGAGCGCGTTGTGCTCTGGAGCAAGGGCAGAGCTGCGCTCTCGTCCCTCCCCGGCATCGCGAGCTTTATATTTTATGCACGTTCTGAACTTCCATCCTACCTGCAGCTTGTGTTTGCCAGGTTGTATTATTATTCACAAGTACAGCTGCTTATTCCTTGAAGGAGAAGAGTTGCTGGCTTTTTCCGTAATGTTCACAGGATCTAAGTAGTGAAGGTATGAGCAAGTGTGTTTTTACAGCTGTTTTGGCTTTATAAAAGTTGCCTCCCTCCGTGTAGCCTCAGGTGACTGGTTAAGAGTGGCAGCACAAGGAAAAGCAGCGTAAGGATGGGCAGTCTTCTCTTAGTTGGTGTCTGCTTCCCTGTGTTACATTTGAAGGGTTTGGGGGGTTTTGTTTTTTTGTTTTTTTAATTCCTAAGGAATAGAAAGTGTTCAAGCTGAGAATTTAAAAAAAAAAAAAAAAAACCACAGCCTGGCATCAATTCGTTCCCTCTGCTCTTTGGTCTGCCAAAAACGATATCTTTACTCCCTTCAACATCAAAACATTCTCTTGCATCTCTGTCTTGCCATCCCCTCTCCTTTCAACAATTAGTACCCTCCTTCACCTTCTCTGCACATAAAAAATACATGATCCTGTCTCTGACATGAAGCATACAGTAGAATCACAGTCAGGAGGGAAATTGGAATGCCAAGTCAGTTTTCCTCTCTTAAATTTTCACTTTAGAGTATGTATTCTCTTGGTTTGACCCTAATATGTCATACCTAAAGCCTGAGTTGGTATGTTACCAAAAAAAAAAAAAAAAGCTGCAGAAGGAAGTTCTTGGTGTATGTTATGAGCTGTTGAATCCAGGCCGCATGCCTCACTGCTAATACTGCTCCAGAAAAATCTGCATTTCTTACAGTGGAGTTGCTATGCAATTTTTGTTTGTGTATAGAAGAAGATCGTGTTGCTACATGGTACTATTGTACCACTTTAATACATATTATCACTTAACCAAATAATACAGAGATTAGCCTCACTTGTGTAGATAGGTTGAAATCATCTTGTCAAAGTATAGTCCAAGCTCAGCTAGGGATGAGATAGAATATAAAGAATGAATAATTCCCTCTCCTTCCCCCATCCCCATCGAGATTTACTGATAATCGCTCAGAGATGTGGGTCATTGCAACAGAAACGTGTGCCAGGTTTTTTGAGCACTGCAGTCTCCAAGATTTGTCCTGTTTGTGAAAGATGGTACCTTAGCATTCATTTAGACAACGTGTTCTCCGTTCCTGGCTGACGGGCTGAACTGGAAAATCAGCTGCAATAGTATAGAGCCAGAAAGACTGTCTATACAATCATGCTGAGCCTCCCATAATCATGGGTGGATAGGTGTTGATGTTCAGCTGAGGCGGGTCACGTGCCAGATGTGCCAAACAGTTCCAGAGCTCTTCTGTCCAAAAGTGAAGACCAGGTGGGCAGTTTGGGGGAAGAGGGACCCTGAGAACGTATGTGACATCTGTGTGCTGTGTGCTTGGCTGCCAGGAATGCTCCGACACGGTAGGTTTGAGCATTTACACGCTCTGCTTTCTTGAATCTTGGTAGTGAGCATGCAACTATAATGGTCTTCGAAAGAAAAAGTCAGGGTTTTTGCTCTCTGCCTGGGAACCTTATGAGTTTGACCAGGATTTTACACTAGTTACTTAGATACCTGACTTTACAGCTAGAAGGTGGGCAGCAGCAGTTATCAGCAAATTTGATCTACGGTAAACTAACTGTCTTGGCTTGGTATGGGAATCAACTGCAGAATTAGACTAGAGGGTTTTATAGAATGTAATCTTACATAATTTTTATTTTGCTAAATGTCAAAAATCTGATGAATCACATTCCTCCTTTTTTTTCCCTTTGGCTCTCAAATACTGGCAAAGGTTTAATATGGGAGAGAGATCTCAAATTTAACCCTTCTAAGAAGTGTAGGGCATATTTTCAGTTACTCTTTCTCTCTGGTTCAAGGGCGATTCCTTGCTTTTAGATACCACTCTATCACCCCTTCTTAAAAGCAGCTGTTTGGTTGCAGTCCTGCGAGAGGGCTCATGCTTTCTTTTGCTTTTCAAATGAAAGCTGAGGTTGAGAAAAATGATTAAGACATGAAGTATTCATTGGAGGAAAAATATATTTGTTGCTGTACTCATTGGTTTTTTTCCTTGTCTGTCTCATTTTTCAGTCATGCCAAGCTGACCTTGTGAAGGACAATGGTCACAAGTATTTCCTTTCCGTTTTGGCTGATCCTTATATGCCAGTAAGGACATATCATCTTTTTTCAGATTCTTAATATTTGCTTTGTTTTGATTTATATATTGCTGTTCTGATGCAGTTGGTGATAACGTAGGCCTGCCTCCCATCTGTACCTACTAACACCCACTGCTCTCCCGAAGAGTCATTGCTAAGTCAGTGATGAGGAAGGTTATAAAACGCCCGTTCCATGATGGGGACGGCCAAGCTGCTAGCACTGAAGGCAGGGCTTGGGAGCTGCCCTAATAAATGGGTGCAGAGGTGGTCTAATTTTATTGCAACTTTTGTAATTCTCTCTGCAGATTTTTTTTTCGTTTATAGTTTAGTGAAATAGATATTTGTATTCTTCATCCAAAGCAATATACTAAGGTCTGGGTTTTTTTCCAATTTCCTTCAATGAGGAATGTCCATGGTTTTCCCAAACCGTACATTAAAATGGGTGAAGGGTTTTCTGCAGAAACACTTCAGAAATCCTGAACTTAAATGGCAAAGGTAATGAAATGCTAAATGATTTTCATTCATCTCTCCAGCAGAAAGTTTTTAAAAGACAAGTTTTTATTTTAACATGCTCAACAAAGAAAAATAATTTATTTTAAAACAAGCTGGAGTAGTGAAACATGAGAGGATCATACTGGCAGCCTGATGATATAAACTTATAAGAGGTCTCAGAGTTGTAATTAGTGATGAGATTGAGTGGCAAGAAATTTCTTTCTTTCCCCTCTCTTGTTCTTTTCATGTGATGCAAACTGCATTCAGAATGATCTCATATTTCAGAAAGCATGGAATATAGGTATTCTCTGACCTGTTTTCAAGATAACAAGTGGTTGTATATTGTTTTAAGGCTGAACACAGGACAATGACTGCTTTTATTCTGGCTGTAATTGTTAACAACTACAACACAGGACAGGTGAGTCCCAGCCTTTCTGTTCTCTCTCCCAGCCCTTCTCTGCACTGTGCCTTTACTTTGCGTGTGCCTGCCTTGCGTTAACGCACAGCCCTGAACTGGAAAACAGAAATGGGAAGATTGCTTTATATTATGTCTTTGGGGATTAAAAAAACCAGTTGACCAGGAGGTGTGACAAGCACATCCTGTACGTGGCACCTGGAAGTGGAGGTTAGAGACACACGTCACTCATCAGCTACTCCTTCAGGCAGTGCTCTGACATGCTGTTAAAGAAGCGGTGCCTAGTTCTTGTCAAGTGGAAACTTGATGGCTGTGATAAAGGTTTTGGGAAGGGTATAAAGCCAGGCAAACGGAATGAGCCATAAACCTTGGGGCTCTGCCAGGTGTGAGGAATGTTTCCAATGAGGAAAAAACAGGCTTTATGCACTACAGAAAGCATTTTTAATGCTCAACTGTTTGACTAGCTATAACAGCATATAGTTCATGCTGCTTTCAAATGGCGTTTTGCAACAAAATAACTACGTAACCACAGAGTAATTATTTTCTCTTGATTTACTGTCTTTTTTTTTTTTTGATGAGGTGGGAAGCTGTCATTCAAAATAAATTGCACTGAAATGTGTTTTAGGAAGCCTGCCTTCAAGGAAACCTGATTGCTATCTGCCTGGAGCAGTTAAATGATCCACATCCTCTTCTGCGTCAGTGGGTGGCCATTTGTTTAGGACGTATTTGGCAGAATTTTGACTCAGCCAGGTGGTGTGGCGTGAGAGACAGTGCCCATGAAAAACTCTACAGTCTCCTCTCCGATCCAATCCCAGAGGTAAAAATCCAAATTTTTAAATAAACGTCAGTTGAATTATCACAATTGTAAAAGAGGGCTACAGAAGGGCTTTTAAAACCAGGGCTTTCAAAATCTTTATGATTATATACCTGGTTCAAAGAAAGATCTTTTCACTTTTTCTTATAGATAATGCAAGTCATATAGCCCTGTGCGAGAAATAACCAAAGAAATGCAGGGGGAAATTTATACTGCCCAGATGACTTGAAATCCTGGAAGCAGGAGTTGGGAAACACCCCATTTTCTGGCTACCTCTGTATCAGAAGCTCTTTAAAAATCTGCTCCCACAACTCTCTGTATACAATTTCAGGAAATCCCCTAACCTTTTTGTCTGAGTGTGAAAACTATTCTCCTCCTGATATGTGTGAAAATACATCTTTAATTGAATGTATTTCACCTGTGTGAGAAACCCTCCAAGAGAAGAGATTCTTGTGCAGAGCAGGACTGTGATTGACGGACGCTGTCGGACTCTAGTGAAATTATATCGCATTTGGGAGAAGTAAGCCTGGAGATAAACACCATTGCCCACTTGCAGTGATTAAAGATTATTATTATTCCCTTTTACAGTGATCTAATCTTTCTGTCCTGGTATCTTCTACCTCCTTTCTGTTGCCCAGTTTTTTCCCCCATTGTATAAACAATATTTGTGCAAGGGTCAGGTTGACTCTCCTTGTGGCCCATCAGCACCTTTATTTGAAAAGCCAGGAGGGTCGCTTCTGCTTTGTGAAGCTCGTCCCACAGTCGCTGGTGACGCTGCATCCCCACCGTTCTCAGTCTCTGCCACGACAAGCTGTAAGATCACCGAGCCGTCTGATCCCTGTGCTCTGTGTGATGTGGCAAAAGTTACCCTGATTTGAGCTGTCCTCTTTCCTCCTCCTCCCCCTGCCCGGTCGTGTGCTGCCTTTCTGTATTCCCTTATCTGATGACTGTAGTTTAGCGCTCCTTAATAAAAGAGAAAAACATCCCAACAGTAACTCCCTGTGTACCTTATTTCTGCTAATTATTATTCTAGGCAGTGCCAACTGGAAAAATCGCCCATGAGAAGGTCATCAAATGTTCTGGGAAAGTAAATATATTTGTGCACCCATGAATACTTAAAACGCAGTGCTCTGCTGAATCTGGCTCAGGTTTTGCTCTCTGTGGGCTTCCCTTTAGTCCCCGCTATTTACCTGACACAGCCCAAGTTTCCAGAGACCTCATTCAAGGGGATGAGAAATCCCACTGGGAAGTTCCAAGCTCGAACCAAAGGAAAACACTGACGAATGCTTGTCTCTCCCAGGTTCGCTGTGCTGCAGTCTTTGCACTGGGAACATTCGTGGGCAACTCAGCTGAGCGGACTGATCACTCCACCACCATTGATCACAACGTAGCTATGATGCTGGCCCAGCTCATCAATGATGGGAGCCCTATGGTTAGAAAGGTACGAAAAGGATGGTTGCATGAAAGTTTGGTAGACTAATGCTGGTGAACTTTGCACTCTTCCTAATCAGAGTGCACATTGCTTAATAGAGTTTCAATGAATTGGACTCATTTGGAAGTGCGTGTTACATGTCTCTGGAAGGCTTGTAACTTCAGTTCCGGCCGAGAAGCAGCACACAAGCAGGAACACCCCAGCGAAAACAGCAGCGTGAAGCTACTGCTGCAGCTGCAGCTCAGCACTGACCTTTACGTTGCAGATGCTGAACAACTGAATGCAGTAGCTTTCTGGGATAATGTTTTATCCACTTGCCATTTTTCAATGCACGCATTATGCCATTTCATTTACCGTGCAATATAAGGAGTCCACCGACAGGAATAATACATTATATGTAAAGCGTATGATGTCATCATGACTAGGGGTGGCAAGATTGTTGTTCAGATCAAAACGTTTCTTCTATTTAATGGTGGACCTCTGATTTAGCTCATGTATTCCATTAAGCAAATGTCTGAAATAGGAGTAACAATATCAGATTTTTGTGGGCATTTTTATATCCTGCTTTTTGAATTTAAGACAATGCCATAATGAAGATAAAGATGGAGAACAGTTGGACTGAAGTCTCTTATCAGGTACCCACAACCCTGAGAATTCTAGCTGAATTTGTCATCTTGAAACAAGAATTACTTTCTGTCCTGCTAAAATTCTTCCATTTATTACTATTTTGATTGCAAAATTTACATTACAGGACCTCAGGGCTTAAATGAAATATTAATCTGTTACTGGAAACATGGAATATGTGGCAGTTCTAGGGGAAGAGGAGGAGCGGGAGTAAGAGTGCTGTTGAGAGAACAGGAGATCTTCATTCAGTAAAAAGATCTTGTTGCTTTTAGAAACAGCAAGGAAGGAAAGGAGATCGATTCAATGGTTGTACTTCAGATTTGCAAAGTTTACAAATTCTGATGCTCTGCTGTACAACAGTAGTGCATTAAATAGTTCCCGACTTTCTTGATGGCATACGCTTAGGTGTCCTAACTGTTCTGTTTACCTAACTGGAACATCAGTAGCCTGTCAAGTTGTCACGAGCGTTGCGAGGATTAATTTTTGTTGTCTTGTTCCAGTGTACTGAACTTCAGTTTATTTCAAGAGACTCTTGTGTTTCAGATTATATGCTCTTTGTTCAATGGGCTAAATCTCCAAAAGAGATGTTTATGCATCTCAGAGAACAGCAACCAAAACCAGCCCTCCGGCTGTCCTGTTTGCTATTTCCAAGCCCCTTGCAAAGGGGACCTAGCCGAGGGTCCGCGCTTTGCCACCTCTACCCCTGTATGCCCTCACCCTGCCCCGGGAAATTCAAGGCTCCTAAGCTGCAACTCTCAGAACGACCTGCCTGGTGATTCCTTAGGGGTCTTCAGCATCGTTCTCGTTAGCTGCTGCCGAGCAGGTCGGGAGGAGGCTGCCCGTGCCACTTGACTCCGGAGGCAAACGCCGGGATTCATCGTGGCATTGCTGAGCCACGTCCCCGGACCCCGGTCAGATCCTGCGCTCTTTAGCCCCGAGCGGCGCACCAGTCTCCCGTTCAGTACTTTCTGCATCCGCTTGACAATATCTGGCAGAATCGAAGAGTGGTGGGAGCCTGTTCAGGAGGAAGACTTTTGTTGTGAAGAATTAATTTTGAAACTGAGGGCTCTGGCTTTCTTCCAGCCATCCCAGTTAAGTGAAAGGAAAATCAATACTTCTCCAGGCCAACTATAAAAAGTGCCCTCATCCCCAGTTGGTGACAGATGGGTATTAATTTTGTCAAAGGGTTGGTTTCACAAGGACCTGAGTCTCCCTTATTTAAAAAAAAAAATAGAAAGATCCTCACAAGAGGAGAAGGCTATTCCCGATCTTGTTAACTCGGAATAGAGGTAACTTGCTAAATTCTCATGTCTTTGGCATTGGTTCACCTGGTGTGTTTTGGAGGGTCAGGAGGGGATTTTGTCTTTCCACTGCCTTAAGGAGAATGCCTCCAGGAGAGCAGAGCTACAGAGGAGCTGTTTTCCCCCCTCTGAACCCGTGTGCTTGGTGGAGACGTACCCCGTTGTTCAGCCTGGCCATTGCTTTCTCATGAGCCGTCTAAGAACTGACGTACGTCCCTGGGCCTTCCAGGCCCTGATCTTAGATACGTCCCAAGAAAAGATCTCACGTGATTCCGTGCTTCTTTTCCTGAACTTCTTTATGGTGTAAAGGCTCCTGGGACAAGTAAATACCATCCGTGTGTTGACATTTGACCTCACTGAGAAGACTTGATTTTTTTCCCCAGAGGTTTTTAATCCTAGAGGAGGAGGCATTACAGAGTTGGGGCACAGACTAAAACAAAACGTGCATCTTTAAATTTAAATTATTTGGAGCTTATTAGCTTCATACAATTTTAAACTTAACATAATACACTGTTCAGCTCCGTTTATTTAATATGGACTTTGCTGTAACAGCATATTCTTTTGGATGGATAGATATGTAATATCACCTCTCTGTCTTTCAGTGTTATTTATATGAATTTCTGTGATAGTCATCATCATAAAAAATGAGCCATTCAGCTATAAAGAGAATCTTTGAAATACAGAGGACCAAAATAATCCTTCTTTCCTCTAATAGAAAGTATCCGACTAGAAGTTTTTACCCCGCCCCAACCCTTTCAAGTAGGGGCACGTTTCACCCTATGCCATGCAGCATTTACTGCTCAACGGCACAGTTACTGTAGAATTTATCCCAAATGAGAAATGAATAAGTCGGAGTCACCCAATTTGAACCGTTTCCCATGTACATGTATGCAGGGGTCCATATGCTGCAGTGTTTCGTTTTGAGTGGTAAATCCCTTGTCAGGCAGTCACTTCTTGTCAGATAAGTTTATCAGAGGGATTTAAAGTATCAAAGATATGAAATGAGAGCGGGCAGGAGAGAGATCCAAATTAGTTTCCTGACTAGAAAAGGGCTGCAACAGGAGTTCAACAGTTTTCTGTACTGTTTGGTCTGCTGAATATCTGATCGTTGAGCGCATGGGAGCCAGGCAGGTAGCACGTGCCCAGCGCGGGTCCTGCTGCAGCCCCTGCTGCAGCCCCTGCTGCCCATTTTCTAGCTGAGGGCTGATGGGAGGCACTAGGGTTGCTGTGTGTGCATGTGCTAGAGGGATATAAGGAGCAAAGGGCAAGGAGGCTGTTGAGGAAGAGGATGTGGGGACATGTAAAGCTGATCTGCAGGAAGCCAAAGCTGCTCCTGAAAGAAGTTGTCTATTGCTCTTGATTGTTCCTGCTTTTTTAATTGTTCTGGATAGCCATCTAATGATATTGACTACATCGTTCCCTGTCTTTCCCTTTGGTTAGCTGTTTCTGACCTGTATAACAACTCCTTTCCCTTTGGTCGGTTGTTTCTGACCTGTATAACAATGAAATGCCTGTTTCTTCTGCCCTTTCCCTAGGAGCTGGTGGTGGCTTTAAGTCATCTGGTGGTTCAGTATGAGAGCAATTTCTGCACCGTTGCTTTGCAGTTCATGGAAGAAGAGAAGAATTACCCTCTCCCTTCTCCAGCTGCCACAGGTATGTGTTTTGTGTTCTTGTGGGCAGGAAACTTATAGCCTGATAGTTCTTGAGAACTTTAATAAAAGAGTTTGCTTAAGACAGTAATTTTTTTCCTGGTAGTGATATGTCATATGACACCATTGCTACAAAGTTTACTGAAATGGTGCATAGCTATAATGTCTATTTAGCACTATAATGTATTTCACTGGAAAAATGCATCCTGAGTTGAGTCTCACTCTAAAAGACAGATACAGCTTACCAGCCAGTTGTAGAGACTGAACACCCTGCCAAGCTCAGAAGGGATTCCCTTCACGTCAAGATTAAAGTATATTTGTCAAGGTAGTAAGGTACACAGGCTCACCCAGACTGTATTCTTTTCTTCTGAAACTTCATCAACATCAGCATCTTTAACATCAGAAACTTCAGTGATATGCTGACCTAACGAGGCTAATGAGCCTTACCATGGGACAATAAACCAACCATACCTTTGTTACTGTAAAGCACCAGACAAGAACTGATGAAGAACCTTATGCTTAGTGCCTGTGTTCCCATCCGTTTATTTTGTATGTTGCTTCATATGGGGAATGAAAAGCGCTAGGGAATTTGTTGCTAACCTCACATTCTCTTTAGACACTAAGCACATTGGAAATCATCAAGGATAATGGGACTGTTGCAACAGAAGCTTGGAGGCAAGAGCATGTATTATCTGTGCAATAAGCAATTTAATCTCTTCATTGTCTGGATAAATGAATCGTACTAGAAAACAAGCTTCCCTGCATTTATCTTTTTTGCTGCAGAAAATGCTCCTTACTTACAGTTTATATAGTGCTTTTCATTATTCAGAAGAATCCCAAAGTAATTTATAAGTAGGATGCACTGGAAGCACTGCTCCCACCACCATAATGTAACCACCTCTGCAGTGAAACAAAATAATTGTTCTGCAGCCATGATACTGTGTGCACATTCAGGAATGAAAATGAAGAATAGGTTGTCTGGATGAGATTTTGGGTATCCAGGTCGTGAGTAAAATATGACTTGAAACCAGCCTGAAATTTGACCAGGAAGCAAGGATTTTAATAGTTCTTTATAATGAAAAAATTAGCAGATTTTTAATGAGCAGAAGCAGACAGAACCCAACATTTAAATGCCATCTACTAACAGGCATCTGCTGTAGCAGTGTGTCCTAGCACAATATCTGGGCAATGGCCCAGCACCAACCTGGAAAGACAAGTCATCCTGTCTCTCTTGGTAGTCTGCAGACACTGGGCAAGGCTTGGCTCTTCTGGTTTCATTGGAGGTAACAAGTCACATCCTGCACAATAGGGAAGCATAGTCCTTGCTGATTATGTGCAGAGAGGATCCTTTGTTATTCCTCATTGTCTTTTAGGGTAGCAGGCAATGACTAAATTATATTTGCTGTGATCATAGCTTGTAGGCTGATTCTCTTTGGTTGATTCTCTCTGTAATTGCTAAATTTTGCCTCTACAGAGGGTGGGAGTTTGACACCAGTGCGAGATGGTCCATGTACACCAAGGCTGCGCTCTGTCAGCTCTTATGGGAATATCCGAGCAGTTACCACAGCTAGGAACCTGAACAAGTCCTTGCAGAACCTCAGCCTGAATGAAGAATGTAAGAGAGACTTGAAAATTCTTTCATTTTTCTTTACCACTTCTTTTTTTTTCCCTCTCTTGCAAGCTAGGAAATACCACCTGCCAAACAACAAGATCCGAAACTTAACAATTTATCCCAGATCCTCCAGCTGCCAACTCCAAGGAGTTATATGAGAAGCCCCATCCTAACTAATTTCAATTTTCTGGTGATTAGCATTGATTTTCTAAGTGTCTGGGGACAAAACAAGGCACCTTGCACTTGCTGACTTGCGTGGATTTTTAACTGTTGATGCTTTGACGCTTACTCTGTATTTAAACGCTCAGTGCTTAAAAGAGGACATTGGGGATTTGTCTACACCTTCACTGGGTGTTGTAGGATTTTTAAAAGTGCTGTTATGTTTGGATAAAAATTGTTCTCTCACCAGATCTTGTTTCAGCACCTGCCTTCCTTTCTCTTGGCAGCTGGAAGTTCTGTTGCTTTTTCTCCTGGGAATCTCAGCACCAGCAGCAGTGCCAGCAGCACCTTGGGCAGCCCTGAGAATGAAGAGTATATCCTGTCGTTTGAGACTATCGACAAGATGAGACGAGTCAGCTCTTACTCTTCTCTGAATTCACTGATAGGTGAGTAAAGGTTCTTTTACCCTTCTTTTGGTGTCTCCTTCCTTTATATGCTGGCACTACTATAGCTGGCTTTTGTAGAAAGCACTGATTTTAGCTCCTGCTAGATCTTACTCCAACAGGAGTTTTTATAATAGTAGAAATGCAACTGTTGTGTCTGTGTAGGCTATATGCAGGAAGGAGAGTGGGAAATTTAGTGTTCAAGCCTCTTTGGTGGAGGGACTGGAAATGAGAGTGCTTCTGATCTTCAGCCATATGCTTCACTATGACAGACCACAGTACTATTAGGAATTTGAGCACAGATATGTTGCACATATGGGAATTTTACATCCACTGCAACTTCATTGCCTAGAGAAGAAAACAAGAGCTCCCCATCCCATGGACATAACAGCTGGGATTTCTGGCACTAGCTGCTTCCCCTGGCTGTTTTGCATGTAGGCTGTATTTCTGTACAGCACAACCATCTAATTTTGTTACTCATACAAGGGAGCCTTATCTAACTAATTTCCTATGCGCATCTATGTGTGAATTGTTAAAATGAGACTTATAAAAGAAGAAATCCCAGGCTGTATCTTAAGCACAAACAGACTGGGTATTTCACAGAAATCTGCTTTTGTGCAAAATGTTCCATGGTCGATTCTACTACTTCCAATTCTCTCTCCATTATTTCCTCCTGGATAACTTGGAACATCAATAGCATCAACGGAGCTTTTTAAAGCCACTCGAGTCCTTTTCTATCGTGGAGTCTGACTCTCTGGTTAATGCACAGAACACTGCAGAGTGAAGTGCTATAGCACAGAAGGAAAGGAAATTTGAGTTGTGTTTATGCAGTTCATGACTGATTTGCACGTAATGGATGATTTCTGTTTCTTCTATGGAACAAAACTGAAATTTTTACATGGCTAGTTCTACTCATTTATTTCTGCAATGATTTTGCTAGACGTGTCTGGTTACTACAACAGCATTGCTTTAAGCTAGCTGTAGGTTTTAAACAGTCGAAATCCATTTTGAGATGATAGCGGAGACAGCATGCAGGACCTAGTTTTTGAAATGGTCTCAAGCTCCATGGAGCAGAGGAGGAAGCACGCACCAGAGAAATGTTGGGGGGAGCCTGTGTATTTTCTTTGTAATTGGTAAATGTGCCCATAATTTTCTAGCCTTCAAAAATCAGTGAAAACTTTATACGCTGCACTACTGAGTCGAAAGGTTCTGGGATCATACTAATGAAAAAGATGTAGCTGGTATCATTATTGACTATGAACTAAGGCCAAAGCCCCTGGGGATAGCTTAAAATCAAGCAGCCGTTAGAAGCTGGTTTAAATAATTTGCTTTTGATGGCAGATAATGAAATTGGATTTTCAAAAGCATGACAGGAATGTTTGGAAATTTCTGTCCCTGCCTTAGACTGGAACTTGAGTTTTCCTCGCTTACGCTGGTGCAAATTGACATGTGCTTGATGGTTTGTGTCTTTCACAAGAGCTTTACAGCACAGTTGAAAAAGAGTCTAGAGATCAGCCAGAGATGAGTGATGGGAACTTAGGAAAACAAAAAGAGCAGTTCTCTGAAGCCTCCCTTGTTCCTATTCAATTGGAAGAGCTCATATCCAGCTGGAAATGACAGAGCTTACAGAAGTGTTTAAAATTCATAACTCACACAGAATCCTATTACCTTCAGCATTTGCCTGCTTAAAGCCAGGCTTTTTTCATTTCTACTGAAGAATCGCAGTCTTCCAACCTGCTCTCGTCTGGTCCCAAAGGAAAGAGTTTGCAAAATCCCATCAGCTCCAACCACCCTTTCAGAGTTGCTGTGCAGACGCCTGGGCTTGCGTTAACCCTGTAACGTGGGTTGTCTGCGTGCAGGAGCCAGCTGCAGCTTAGCCTGCAGACTTCCAAAAGCGCCCTCTTCCTTTCAGGTGAAGGCCTTTCTTAAAGTTTTAGCCTGCAATAAAATACTGCTAGGAAGAGTGGGTGTAGCTCAGAGAGGGGCCTAGCTGGGTGGCAGACTTGCCTTGATTGAAGACACGTTCTGCTCTACTCTTTTTTCTGGAAAAGGTAATAGTGACTTGGCTCTGCAGTAGTGGCCATGCCAAATATTTGAGGTAGAGAAAGCAGTAAAAGGGATGCTTTGAGTACATGGATAGAATCAAAGCAAAGCGAAAATCTAGTCTGTAACAATAAAAGTAGAAATTGTCAACCACAGTTAATGCTGTGTTCCCCTCTGCGTTCCCTAAGTTGTTTTACTGATATTCAGGACTTTCCTTCCCACTTGCAATTTTGGGAGTGTTGTGCTAGAGGGAGTGTTCTGGGTCAGTCTGTCCGCTTTCCTGACCTCACGTCATCGTGTGATACAGTCTCTTTCACAAGCTTGAGGAAAATCTTTCCGTTCCCTCCCATCCCATTTTACAAAGAGCTTCCTAGCTAACTAAAGGCAAAATGCCCTCTTGTAGTGCCCCCCCCCAAAATGCAACACGTAGTCTAGGTGTGCTGTTTTCTGGCAGACTGCTCCTCAGCTGGACAGTCCTGAGCTACCAGAAGAGAGATGTGTTTCTGGCCTGTGCATTTCCCAGCTGGCAGCAGGCAGTCTTGGTTAGTCAACAGAGACAGCAGTTTGGATGGAAGGCTAAAGCCTGCGTTCTTTTTCCATACTACTAGTCGTTGCTCTTAGTGTTCCCAGTGCTTTGTTTAATTTTTTGTTTTATTTTAAGATTGGAAAGGGAAAGAATTAAGATGGGGGAGCTCTCAATTGAGACCGATTATTCCTACCCAAACTGCATGATTAAAGTCCTTGTCCTATGGAGGGCAGTGCTGGAAAGATTAAATTAAGGAATGATCATAGAAGGAGGGGGGAAAAAGAAACCTGGAGCAATGAAGCGCTGGAGACTAGTTCTCTTTTCCAGCAGGAGAGGCTGGGAGCTGAAAACTGTTGCCCTGTCCCGGGATCGGTCCTGGTGGGCTATCTTGAAGTACCACGTACAGCAGGAGGTTACTGTAGTCAGGGTGAAGCAGACAAGAGATGGACGTGGACGGCACGCCACAGGAGCGAAGAAAGCGAGAGCGGGGACAGTTGGAGCCTCCTTCTTTATCATCAGACAATATATTTAAATGCAAAGTCATAATGATAAGTAATCGATCAACTAGCAGTATTTACAAGTGGTAACTTGCACAGTAGCAAAATAGAGGTGTCCGAACGCTTTGCAGGAGTGGAGGTCTGCTGCAGGGCTTTCCCGTCAGGTCCGTGCTATTTACGCTGCGTTAGGGAAGGAGGCTGGAGGAGCCTGCGCAGCGGCCAGGGCAATGCTGCGCGGTTCGGCAAGCCACGAAGCAGTTTTGGGGGTATTATCAAATGCAGCTCGGTTGCTTTGTGTCTGTTCGTTTTGGGGGAGGAGGTTCCCGATGCCCCGTTTCTTGCCCCGGCCGCACTCCCCTGCGCTGCGGCCGGGGCGAGAGCCGTGGCGTGGGCTAGTGGGGCGGCAGGCCTGGCCC